TTTTCTGGTTGTCTATCGCTATTTATCATAAAGAGCTCCATCTTCGTTAACTGTACTCATACAGATTTATCAAAAATAAGTCGACACTTAGGTACATTTGTATCAGGCTAGTTTAACATTAGAAAGGTTTTTCATCAAGTAATAACAATGTTTATCCATTCATTTTCTAGGCATTTAGACTAGCCCGGTAGTTCACCTTTAAAATCAAATCAGTATTTTAGTGAATAAATGTTCCATTTCAGACAGGTTTCTCCCTATCTGTAGGATGGCTTAAATAGCACGATTATTGTTTAAATTTAGTTTTAAAAGTAGACTTGTATACGTTGTAGTCGATTTTAAATGCATAGTTAAAAATCATCTATTAAAGTGACACTCCAATAGTTTTGACAAAGCCAATTCAATATAACTACCTGAACAGACGTAGAGGTAGAGAAAAATATAGTCTCTGCTGGAATTGCCTCTTTTCTTATTCATGTCACACTTAGCACTAGAATTTTCTGATAGTGACAACAGGATCTCAGGAAGAGATAATTAAGTCAATCTTATCAGAAGTTATTCGATGCTAAAGCCTATAAAAAATGGATAAACAAAATCAAGACGTGATGGTAAAATTTTAAGTGTTCAGATAAACTTATGACGTCTATGTGTCGTGACTCAACTAGCTACAATTGTAGAGACGTGTGTACCGATTAAAGCCCACGTGAGTTAACAATCAAATAATTGTTAATATTGAATAAAAAGGTAATTTAGCGTGTAAATGTAAAGTGGAAAGTGAAGAATTATCTTGTTAAGTGAGTAATTTTTACGCTCAAACATTATCCATTTCTTAGCTAATAAATTTCACTTCGCGGAAGACTTTGATAGAAAAAAATAAGCAAATATCTCAAAGATGTCGTTACACTAGTAATCGAGTCTTTTTTAAATGGCCTGCGTTAAACTCTACCTTCTAGAGATGAACTTATACTGAAAACAATTTGACTACTTAGTGTCATTTTTCAGTAACGCTGAAGTAACTTGAGACATTTGTAATTTTCACCATAGATGTGATGTAAAGGATCACTAAAAACTAATGAACATTGGGCAGCTGTTTTATGCCATCTTCGAAATAAATAAAATGATACAGGGATTAGAAAAGTGTATCTTCTTCACTATGCAGACGATGGTTAACTAAAGCCACTAGTTTAATTGTGTATAACAATGTGGTGGCATTATGGCCAATTGGCTCGTATACCCGGTGTTCAGGAGTAGAATCCTGAGTTCAAACTCCTCTGCCCTTACTTCGATCTGAACTACAGAATAGCAGTATTATAAGCCCCAACCAGTTAAGTCTGCGTTTTGATCTAAAGCATAAACTTGTAGCAGGTTGAGATGTATCGCTATAGCAATACATTAATGGTCCGTTAACTACTAAAAGTCACGCTTATAGGTAACCGCATTTCTGAAGAGCATTCAGACAATAACTGATAAAGCTCATTGTATTGTAGCGATAATATTCCACTGAAGACAATCTTTTTGTGATTCAGAGTAACTTTTCCATCTTTCTACATGTATCAAAATAATGAATTAATTGGTATGAATTCTGCTTCTACTGCTAATAATATACTTATAGAAAAGTAAATTACTGCACTAAATAAAACTAACTGGTTCATTGTTTTGAACTTATATTTAATAAAAGCCATTAACGTCTGATTCTGTCATTTTCGTTTACCTCACTTATCCAGATGGGTAAATGAACAAATACAATAAATAAGTATTCTATTGTGATATACTGTTCCATTGAGTGAATGAATAGGTGAGGAAAGATATTATAGTGAAAGTATAATGGAAATCAGAGTAGCAGTGGTAGGACTGATATTGTGAGTAGGACTGAAAACAGAAGTGGGAAACAATTAACAGTACATGCATTATACAACAATTAGCCTTAGTTGTATAAATAATGTAATATAACAAAGACGTGATATGACTCCTTTTAAAACGAGAATAATAATTTATGTCCTCTGAGGTGACGGAGATTTTAATTTTGAGGTAGTATTCATCACGGAATGAAATCAGTTGGGGAATCATTGAAAATCTCAAAGCATTGGACGGCTGTTTCGTACTAGTATGAGAAGTCCATGATGAACACCTCAAAATATATCACACTGTTATATTAGTGGATGATTAAAATTCAACTGTCTAGCGAATTCGACCTCACAGTGACTCCATCACACCCTGGTTTATGACAGCCTCATATTTTTATCTCTTAGCACAGTGCATAGCGCAAAAATGTTTGCGAATTTAACAAGAATTTGGCAAATATTTATGATTTTGTTGACAAACAATTACACGGTTCATTGGTTTAGTAATAGGGATTTGCAAAAATAAAATACTTCTTCATTTGTTCTTTATTACTACCCAATAGTTCAGTTGTCAATCAGTATATCCTTTACTCCGTAAACTCAATTTACTCAATACTAATGATAAAGAGTGAAATGTTGGTCATACTGTTCACTGTGAAAAATCTATTAACTCTGCTCAAACCTTAGCACTACATTTTTTCTGTGTGAATCTGTCTATACTTAGTAATTTCGACCATATTATTATTATTTGTCTCTTGGGTTCCTAGTCGAATATAGTAACACGCATGAATAACAACACACCGACAGTTTTGCATATTGAATTTGATTCAATCACCTGCTATTCCGAACGTGAATGTTTCCGAAATACGTTACGCGTAACTATTCTCCATTATTCATAAAGTACGATGATAGGTTCAGTAGGGTTAGGTTGGAAAACGGTTGAAAATGACCACACCAACACCATGACATCAGTTCATGAAGCATCTGTCTGTTGGTTTAAGCTGAGTAGGAAAATGTAGACTTTTTAGTTGAAGACTATACAGGAAACGAAATCGATGATTGTAGACAAAAGGTTATATGACTCTCTATCCGTTGCATTAGTGCGGATACATTTAACGCTATCTTTGTCTTAAATATTGAATTACATTTCGTGTTTATCTATAGTCTATCTTCTCTTCATATGGCTCTTCACAACTTTTGGTTACCTTTTCTTTACTCTCTGTCTTTCTTCTCCTATCTTGATGTATTTTCACTTATGACAACTGGATCTATTGCTTAAGAATGTCAAGTCCCCTCATTGATACTGACAAACTATGGGTAGCTAGTGTTGGAGATAGATGATTATCCATTATCTACAGTTTCTGTTTCTGAAGTACGTAGACAAACTAATCCAGTTAGGCGGAGATCTTGTCAAACGCCATGAGCGGAAATCTGAGTTCATTTTGCAGTCGTTTCTCACCTGCTCATTGTAAGATGTTACTTTAAGACTGCTATGCACCTACTCTCAGATTAAGGAATGGAGAGTGAAGTTGTAGAATGCTCTTGCAGTTTTACTTAGTTGGCAAATTGTATCAGCCTAAATGGGTTGTTTGCTGATGAAATCTCAGTTTGGATACAAAATATCGGGGCTGAGCTCGCCATATGATGTCATCTCTGTACGGTCAAAATATCTGACCACTATCCTGAAGTGCACTCCACTTTGTCTTATTATATGGCCCTCAAACATGGTCATGAGAAATAGAAGATATAAGAAGCGATTGAAGATGTCTTCATGGTATTGCTCACGTGTGTTGAAATCACTGCATGAGCGATTTTGATGTTGCTTAGAATACTTGGTAGGAAAGATAAGTCACTTAATGAAGTTGTTAACCTTTGCCGACTGAAAAAATAGAATCTCTCAAAGTTGAAAAATTCTGTTTGCTGCGCTTGATCACAAAACAGGAGATGATGAAGGCAGAATAAATTAATGAATTGTGTTAATCTGTTTTAATTTTTAAAGAAAAGAAAAAGCGAAAGAATACATTCCACAGTACTGGATCTTTCGTGATGTCACCGAGATTTTCCAAAAATTGGTTGGTAACGTTCCACGGACCACAAGTCAGGCAGCTTACATTATCTCTAGAAGTCTCAGCTCAACTATCTGAAACTCCACTAATTTGTGCTATACTGTATCTTGGTTATTCTAAGCTTTCTTTCCGCCTAATACTTCTTAGGTAGCTTTTGTCTGGACATTTCCAACGTATGCCTAAGTTGCCTCAGTGGGTACAGGTTTGCAAACTCACTGAGTGAATTCCTCCTCTTACCTAGGGTAGTATACCTAGCTTCATAAATATTTATTCCTTGATTTCACTACGCGACGGCATGCAGGACAAATTACTAAAATTCAAAACGTTTAGCGACTTTCTATCTTTAGCTGCCATCAGCAGTGTCTAATAGCTATAAAGTAGGTTACAGTGATTTATCCCCTAGCCTACTCACAGTCTGAATTTCTTCAGTTAGATAAAATGCAGTTGGAGTCTTAAATTCACTAAACCGAAATTCATTTGAGTATATACTGATATTTTTAGCAAGTATACAATTTCCCGCCATTAATGATTTAATTGAAGAATTCATCATAAAGTTCTATTCGGTATCCCAGTAATTATTATAAGTCAGCCTTTTTATTTGACGCTTGCTTCTTAGAAAAACAATGAAATTCTTTAGAAATCATTAACACATCATTGAATCATTCTTTGCCGCATTTGTAACTCTTCTAACACTGCGAAAACATAAAAACACAAAAACAAACTTAAGCATTCCGACGCTCTGTTTCTCTCTCTCTCTCTCCCACCTCCCTCCCACCATTTTTAAGTCTAATGAGGAATTATTAGTTTCCTGTCTAGTCTTAAAAGAAAATATTTTAATTCCATATTTTTCTTAAACCTTAAAGTATATTGACATATTCTATATTACAAGTAAACATTCAATGAAATAAGCTCAAAAATCTATGTTTCATCTTTATTACTTACTCTCTGGAAAATACACATCAATGAATTTATTGATTAGTTCCAATGATGATGATACAGACAGCAAGCAATACATAATGCAGATGTTTAAAAATGAATGAATATTGTGTTTTTTAATATTAAATTTTTTTTTCTCTTTTTTTTATTGAATGAACAGCTGATAATTCAATTGTGAATGATCAACAATTTAAAAAGATATTAGAAAATATCGCCAGTCAAATTGATATGATTGATAATGAATTAAAAGAGTTGGCTAGTAAACCAGTGAGCCGATTATTTTATTTTGTTTGTTTTTATTGACTACTGATCACTGAACAGTTGAAAATATTTCTATAACAGGATAAACAATTACAAGAAAAGCAATGAAGATGTTAACTTTTGTCAGAATAAAGGTATTCGTTGAAAATTATATGGTAGGCTCATAGAACTTGAGAATTTTACTGCAGTTATTGTGCAGTAAACACCTAGGGAATTATCATAAGCGACAGAGATTTAGTGAAAATTCTATACCTACTGGACAAACGGTGTTTGCATAACCCCTGATTGACTATTTGTTATTCGGTACATACTTTGTAGTCTGTTATCCTAGTCACATCCTATGTATATAGTTAATTTTATGTGTAAGAAAATAATAAAAAAAACGTCATTTGGTTAGCCAATGATTCTGTTTTCTGAAATCCATTCCATCGACTTTTGAAAACAATCAGCATTTCAGTGTAAACAGTCAAATGTGTGAAAATAGGGAGTAAATTATAAGTGGAGATAAATTTATCGCTTTTAATGCTATCGAAGGACATTATGATTATAACTCAGGAATTGTACTCGAAACGTCATCTCTGTGCATCATTTTCAGTTAGCTGTATTAAAAAAATACTGAAAAATGTGATTCTGTTCACTCTCCGAGTGACTTTAAAGACCAATGTAGTAACTGCTGAAATGACTAGTCAGGTTTCGGTACTTCACTGAGAAGGTAGTTTTTCATCGAAGTGGCGAACATAGCTGGTAACCTCAGCAGTTGTTAGGGTGGTATCCGCAGTCACTCAACCCTCGGATTTTCTAGAAAAGATTTTCTTTACAATAAACCTCCAGTGTATTCAGCATTCACTGACAACTTACAGCTTATATGAAAAGATGCTATCAGAATGCCATGCTTACTGAATTTCGCTTATATTAATCCAGCTACGGTGTAGAAATGAAGTCAGGTACATTCACCAAAATAAAAATTTCCTTTTTATCTTATTCATCCTTGATATTATGTTTTGAATACCCCACCTGAATCCAAATTATTATTATTATTAGTCCCTTGGGTTCCTAGCGGAACACAGGGCTTCAGTAGCACGTCACCAGTGACCTCTGTTCTCTGAGATCTTTTGAACCTGGTTCCACGACAGCCCAGAAGCTCTCATTTCCTCCTCGCACGACCTCCTGCATGTCACCCTCGGACGTCCAACTCGTCGCTTCCCATGGGGATTCCACTCGAGGGCCTGACGCATGATGTCCCTAGTCGGCCTTCTCAGTGCATGCCCAATCCATCTTCACTTCCTCCTGCGTATTTGTTGCGTGATAGTTTCTTGGTTGGTTCGTTCCCAGAGCTCCTTGTTGCTTATTCTTTCTGGCCATCTGATCTTCAGTAGCGAGCGTAAGCAGTTGTTGATGAATGTCTGTAGTTTATTGGAAATGCCTTTCGTGACGCGCCAAGTCTCTGAACCATACAGAAGCACTGACTTGACGTTGGTGTTGAAAATCCGTATCTTGTTCCACATGCTGAGTGTAGAAGATCACCACACTGGTTTCAGGCTAATGAACGCCTGTCTTGCTTTTTCGATTCTGACTTTGACATCCTCGTCTGTCCCGTCTGTAGTTGAAACAGCGCTTCCTAGATAGGTGAAGGAGGTTACTTCCTTTAAGTTCTCCTGTTGACGGTGACTGGAGTTTGTTGTTGTTGTTGAGTATAACCGTAAACAAGTGTCTTCTACATTTGTTTCTCATAACTGCGGTATGTATCTCTTCTGATTGTGGTCACCAGTCTACATGAGAATTACTGAACAGACTGTGTTTGAATAAGCGAAAATGTTTACTAGATTGATGTTGGTAATTCCAGTGTTTCGTGCACTAATAAACAAAGCTAGTCAAGAAAGTATACAATAAGTGAAGCCGTGCTTCGTTGGGTTAGGGAGTTAACTTTCAACCGATGGTTCACGGGTCCGAGCTCGGCTTCACTGAGGTTTAGGTAGCCAAATAGTATTACTAGCAGCCACACAATAGATGTACCGTATTACCTATGGCGTGAATGTGAACAGGACTGTTGACTGCATTTCAATTCGATTTCGAATATGCAATATCCAAATACCTGAAGAGTTATAAACATTTATGTTCTCTGTCGCATTGATTAATTCGTCTGTGGATGTTGGCTAGTGAATGAAAGGTATCAAAAGACGTATAGTTTCTAATAATCACGATAAAAATCGCATGCTGACTGAAGCAATCTAGTTGTAAATGCTAGGCAACTTGGAAATATAGATGGAAGGTTAAAATGTGACCAAATAATATTGCCTCACTTCATCTATGCTAGAGTAACTTACCCTCGACAAAACCGTTTTCTCACGAATGTTGTTTTACACGCACTGATGATTAGTTCCTTTGCAATACATTTTAGCGTGTTTATGCGTACCCAAGGAAATATTTATTCAACTTTCCATTTCATTTAAACTTGATTTTTAATGGTAGCTGTATCCGTGTTTAGCAGCAGTATGAAGGAATAAAGTTATCACATGCTCGATGGTTGTCTACCGCAAATTTCAGAACAGCTAATTTGAAACAAGAAAGTAGTCTTCTTACTTTATTCAAGCTGAAAGTTGCACTAATAAACGTTGCGTTTCGTGTATCTCATGTACTTGTGCTTCAACAAGATTAATTTCTATGATTTTATTTTCATTGTAACTCTTTGTGCAAGTATTTGTGAGTGGAAAATCAAAATCAAAATCCATTTAGCAACCATACACACTTTCGGGTAGTAGGCAATGATGTGCACCCATTATGTAAAGACTAATGATACTACCTGGCTACCTAAACCTAGATAGGTGGGGCTGCACTTGAATTCGGTGCTCATGGGTTAGAAATTAGGCTCCTGAGTCAATGGGCTTCAGTTCACTACTCTTGAGTAATATATTGGCGAACGTATCCTAGATAATTTCTTCTATCCTTATTCAACTCTGTACAATGTTAATCTAATTAGAGCTGTCCTACTGAAAATTAGGGGCATTTACTATTACTCTGATCCATGAAAGGAGTATTTTTACAAGAAATTATTTATCAGTGAACATAAACTAGCATGTTTTTGTGTACTTTTTAATGCATTTATTCCAGTTAATGTGTATACAAAATGGATATTATGAAAATCTTGAACGGTTACAAATGGCTGTTAGTGAAATACTACCAAGACTGTTAACTGATGAGGCTCAAGCTGTACTGGAAAACTTACGTCAAACAACTGAACTATATGAATCAGATCAAACTTTGACAAAACACGCCAATGAAGCTAGTGAATTAGCTAAAAAGTAATATATACATTCATCTGTTTATTGATTAGTTAATATGGTACTGAATTTAAGTTATATCTTAATAGTTTGATTAATGCTAATGTTGGATTGTCCTATTTCACCTATTTCTGACTAACCAAGTTAATCACTATCAATTTCAATGGCTATCAGCTACAGTTTACAAGCCTTAAATTGTTTATTTTTCGTAAATTTTCTAGGCCAAAAGAAATTTTCCATCTAATATTTTCTTCTTCCAAAGAACTAACCGAACAGTCTGAAATTTCGACAGTAATATATCAAATTATAAACTTTCACCAACCTACTTTGATTATGAGAAATATCTATAACTTAAGCTCAGAATCTTCTCAGTGAAGTGTTTTTATGGTACACTGTGATGTCACTTTCAGTGACATGCGAACTATCGTCTTCATTAAGGTTGAAACCTTGTAAATGTAGAATATATATTCAGCTAGTGCATAGTAACATATCTATCTTGTTGATATAATATATAATTTCAAAATGTTGCTCTGTGTTGGGTTTTAAAGGATAATCTGACTATTGCGCATTAAAACATGATAATGATAAAAGATGACTGCTTGCGTCAGTGTTAGGAAACATTCTGTGTGTAAGAGTGGGCACATGTTTGCTATACATGTGTATCCGCGTCTCCGCCTCCACTGTCTGTAAATTAGCCATCATTATTTTTGTGATAACTTCATACTATTTTGCGTCTGTTTAACTTATTCCCTGTTTTATGGATCGAAATTGTTAAATGATTGTATTAGATAAAAATGCTTATAATACTTATTGTGATTTGCGGAATTATGATGTCATTTGAGCTTATAATGTTACTAATATTGTATAAAATGATCTTATCACACTGGCTATCTGAGATATCCATGGTTTGCAGACTAGTATTGATAATGGGTGATAATTGAAGGTGAAATGAAAATCTGAACCATGGAGGGATTCGAACCACTGACCACCAGGTTTCCAGCCTGATACTGTACCGAATGAGCTGCGACACCCAACTGATGATCAGATTTCTACTTCATTTTAATCCCCAGGTGAAAGAAAAAGTTGGTCAGCAGTCAGGCCACGTAGCTTAGTTGGTAGAGCACTAGGCTAGAAACCTGGTAGTCGGGGGTTCGAATCCCTCCGTGATCTCAATTTGCATCTCACCTTCAATAATTACCCAGTTTATAATGATATCAATTGTTAGACTGTCAAACTCACTACTGAAGTTTTAGATGATTATATCTAAACAAAAACATGCATTGTGAGCAACTCAAACGAAATGGATCTGTAGGTTATCAGTCTCATTGATTCATTATACAGGTAAGTCTTAATCTAACCCTAGCGTGTTTGGAAGCTGTAGCATACATAGCAAAGCGTTTAGAAAAATCTTGTTTTCGATTTTCTAAACACTTTGGGATTATATTAAAACTTACCTATATAATTTATCAGTCTGGTTATTAAATAAATGAATTTAGGCGCATAATTAGTGGAAATACCTAATGTCGCCTTTATGTTTCACTAGCTACCCATCTACTCAAATGAAATATTCGATGGGCTTAAAATGAGTCATGGTTTTCGAGTCCATTGATAGCATTTTGATAAATGGAACATTTTCAAAGCGATATAGATATGAAGCAGATAGAGTTATCAATACTTAAAAGGAAACAAAAGCCAAAAAATGCGAATTAATGAAATAATTTTTCAGCATATATCTCACCATCTGTTCACAATACAGACAATATTTTTACTTAAGTATTATATGCAAATTTGTGCACTACATGCTGAACAACAACTCTTCTATTTGGATTGATTACGCTACTTGGTTGGCTACCTAAAGTAGGTAGGTGAAGCCAGAAGCAAAAATTCAGGTTTCCAAGGGAATCAATCAGAGATTAGAAAGTAAGTGGTTATTACTAGTATAAAGTGTACCGATATTTAGATAGTTTGGAACGATCTGCTTCTTTTTTTAGTAATTATTTTATTGGGTATTTCATATTCATAGATAATGATTATTAATACTTTTAAGTCTAGTGTAGATCATACAATTGAGAGAATTCATTTCCTTCACTTATGTCTGCTTTGAAATTTACTGATTCTTTGACTCTTCTGAGTGCGCACAACACTATGAGAGTATCCACGATAAAGTAATTTCAAGGTTTAACTTTATATAAGCATAAAAAATCACCTAACATCATCCTTGTAGATGGCGAATGCATTTCGAACTCTCGTTTCTTATTCATAACTCTTACTTCTTAGTGTTTATACTATATTCCTTAAGTATGCATAAAATTCTCTTCTATAATCATTGTACTTGTTACTGGTTGTGATAAATTTCTGCGCATATGTTTTGGATGTTGCCCAAGAGACATTGGACTGAAACTTTAAACTTGCACCTCTGAAATCACATTTCAGTATGAATACAAAAATAACCACAGTAGAAAAACTCCGAGAACTTTTATAAGTGAAATAAAAAATTTAGACTATAAGTCAAACGAGAATTCGATGTATAACTCCAGGTCATATTAGAATGAAGCTTCTTCACTGTTCACAGGCAAACAAAAATTACATACACCCAAGAAATTCATACAAATGAATGCAGTAAGGCTTAAAAAATTGAGATGTTGATATATCTGATTCTAGCACGAGGATAAAATAAAACATCTTATGGTTATTACTATTTTCTGAATATTTATAATTACAAACCATGCATATCTGCAAAAATAAAATTTCTTTGCGAAAGGAGCAGAAGAAACAGTTTTTCAACAGTCTGATATTTCAGTTGGGACTTCAAGTATTGCAACGGTTGTTGTCAATAGTTTTCAAACAATGTCACAGATTCTTTCTGAATAATCTGAAAAAAATAATGTATTGATGAGTTTTCAGCTTGGTAGCGTCATCTATGAAGCCGATTAACATATGTTTCCGTCACCAAATGATACAAACTCGAAGAATGTTGAGAACTAAACGGGCCAGAATAACCATTGCTACTTAAAAAATTGCCACGTTTCAGTAGTGCACATCGACCATCACAAAGAAAAGTTTAAGAGGATTCAGATTCTCAGACATCACATTCTGCATTTCACAACGAATAATCGTAATCTAAATTAAGGGAAAGTTGTTACCTTTCACTTTTAGAGTTCGAGGGATTTCATATGTCCATTTTTGTGGACTCTTTTGTCTACATTACCCAATAGGCTACCTTCTAGGTAAATGTTTAAACTCGAAAATTACTACAAGCAGTCAACTTTAGAGTTAGTTCTTTCTATAAGGCTATTCATCGTCCGCAGCAGAGCACTAGTCTCTGATAATGAAGTACCTACTGCATAAAAAATTCATCTTCATGGTAAACTATCTAGCTAGTAAGTAATGCTCTATGCAAAACCAATTCCATGATTTCATTGTGAGCTGTGAGGTACAACTGACTGTATAAAGAAAGAACTGACAAACTATGTAGTTAGGCGATACCAAACAACTTAAAAGATTCACTTGTGAAATCTGTCAGGAACTGATTGTTTTCAAAGCACACAACATGGATGGGTATTAAGTAAAGAACCATTTATTACCAGGAAGCGTTAGACAGTTGTTTAGTTCTGATTCAACGATCATCAGAAGTGCGTACTCAAGACAGAATCTACTTACTATTACTTACTATTATAAATAACGACAGATTTAGTGGTACGAACGATGGATGGTGGCTGGTAGGGGAATCCGGTATGCACGCTTCACCCTTTTCTGGGCGTGAAAGCTAAATGTATATGTCCCGCTACAAACCAGGACATCAATCTTATTAATAGATTTGTTAATTCTACTTATTCAGCTCTTCCTTTTCCAGCCACGTGGCATCAGTCTTATCCTTTCCTCAAGTTAATAATTTTCCATAGAATTGGTCCAGATTTGCCAACTTTGTTCGGTATATTTCGATATTACAATCTTTTTGACTTTTAAATAACTGAAGAAAAACCCTGAAGTGCAACGTATACATGTAATTCTGCTAAGATTGTTGCTCTCGGTTTATTCGAAACTTATCAAGTGGAGGAATGGCATAAAACAAAATTACCTAATAGCTTGTAAAATTCCAATTAAAATATTTCATTCCAAAAAGGCATTCCGTATGGATAAAATGGCTTTAATTTATTGAAATATGTTTATTACAATTTGTGTATATTTACTGTCTTGTTTTAACAGACTGAATGAAAGAAGTGATCAGTTACAAAAACAACTGAATGGAATTACTCAACTCTTAGCTAATTCCACCAATAAGCTAACAGAATCTAAAGGAATACTTAAAACTTCCAAAGAAGCATTACAGAAGAATATTAAAAAGTAAGCTTGACTCTGGCTTCTTTGTTTGTTCACCTTCAGTACTTATTATGAAACTGGTCCTTCATGTTTCACTAGAAATAAGAGAAAAACTTGGGAATAGTGGTAAATTCACACAATCAGACAGTATCTATCTATCGGATTACGTTTGGGACGCAATTTTTCCATCATATTCATATGATATGATAAATTGTGTCTGAAACGTTATGCAGTAAATAATAATACTGTTTCACTGTATAACACATCCAATCGATAAACTAAGATAATCTCTTATGTTTTTTCCTTTCAACCATAAGTGAATATAAACGGGAGGTGGTAACAATAATGAGAACAATTTTTGAAGGTGATTGACATTTTGAACATTCTTGTTCTCTTTTTATGATAAGTATAAGCAATACAGTGTCGGTATACTGGGTGAGTTGAAATATTCAGAAAAAAACTCAATGTTTGGGTTTCATAATCACTAACACTTGTGCCCTATTATTAAATTGTTTAACTAAGCGTGCCTTAACTGATGCAGGATAGGAAGACCTGAATATCAAGCCTCAACTAGAACAGGAAAGTTTTTGCAGATGTTAGTATCTAAACCTTGCTTTAATTTGATTTTACAATCCAACACAAATATAATTCATCAATTTCTATTGCCTGTGACAACAGTTTCCCCTTAATTCATCGGTGTTTTCAAATGATCATCTCGAAAGAAAAAACAGCCCGTTAATTATACAAAATACATTTTGATTTTTTTTCTTCTTTCTTTTACTTACAGATCTGATGAGATTGAACAAAATAGTTTACAGTTAAACAATCGTATTGACAATCTTAAAGATTTAATCCAAAAGCTACGTGATCAAATTTACTTGACTAATACAAATATCGATCGTCTACCAGATATAATGACTCCTCTACGTCAACTGGACAATGTAGCTAGCACATGGATAGATGCCAAAGACAGAGTAAGAGGAAATGCATTGCAATAAAAATGCATTATTCACACTCTTTTTTATATCATGCAGTCCATTGTCTTGTGAAGATTTTGTATTTAGTGCTGCACAGTGAAAAAGTGATTTTACCGTACAGTTACAAATATTTCACCATATTTTACTGAATGACATGTTTATCAGCATATTTTGGTCAACCTTTTGATACAACTGAGGTTCAGCTGACTATTAATGTTTATGCCTGGATTTCATTGATTTCGCTTCCTAATATATAAGTAGTCTTGTATCTGACCTGACTTTATATTCTTATGTTCGAGTTACTTCCGTTTCCTCCTACTTTCGGGTGTATCTTACCATGTTTGCTTTCAGATATCTTCTTTTCAAAACCTCTCTGTTCATCGTCATGATAAATAGCGGCTAGCAATGGAATTAAGGACGTAAGTTTCTCCCTATTTAGGACTCACCAGCTGGATATACCTCTCTGCCAATGAGTGCTGTTGTTTTCACGAAGAATCGAAGCCGGGACCAATCGCTTCAAAAGCCAAAGCTTTATACACTTAACCATGAAGTCACGATAGCCACTTCTGTGATGGGTATACTTTCATGATGTTGCTTGTATTATCTCATCATTGATTGGACCGAATTAATCCGTCTCTATTGGTATATGGGATCCTGCGCAGATGCCTCAATATCCCTTTGACTTTATCTCAAGAGATATTTTTACATTTCCCTTGAAGAGTAATTCCTGAAGTCATTTTCTTCCTAGTGACTGACTAATTTAAGATAAACTCGAAAACAAGCGGACACTAAAATACAACTTTCAAATACCTAGCATCCAATCACAGATTATCATATAGGAAAACCCTCATGACAAAATACAACTCATTATATTGCTGCTATAATACGAACTTGGAACGAAACAGTAAGGCATCACAATGAAGACATATGAGACAGAAGGAGGGGCCATATGTCCGGACATGATATGATGCTCAAGTGTTGATATTTCTTTCTCTCTTCTCTGGATAACCATGCTGGACAATGTTCCAAAATAACTTTACGGGCTTGACGCTATGTATGACCAATATACTTTGCTCCATCGGAACAAGTAAATAGAGAGTTGCACATTGAGGTGGCCGAAAGTGATATTTTGTCTCTAACGCATTGATGGACTAGTTGTATGCTGAAAAATGTGGTTGTCAGGCTAGCTGTGGGAAGTGTATTTTTTCAAAGATCTTCAGTAGAGATTTTTGAGGATTTCAGCTGCAATGTCACCTTTGAATCTCAGGTTCATGTGCAGAGTTTTCTTGAGACGCTTGGTACCTTTTATATGAGAGTCAGGGAATCTAACTGTCCAACCGTCTTCTAGTAGAATGTTAATTCAAAATCTTAGCTTACTATCCAGAATGTCATCAGGAAGAATCTTTGAAATCCTAAAACATAATGACCGTCCAAAATTCTGTTTGTTGATGACGGGGACAGCTTTGGAAATTGAATAACTGTCCAATGTATGTTGATTTTGTGCACAGT